TGAAAGACAAGTAGATACAGGCAAAAATGATGGATAAAAGAGAAAAATAAACAACACACGTTACTACATACAGTACATGTCACATATAGCACATCACAATCACATAAACGAGGGGCAACATCCATGATCACAACATGTAACACAGGGGTGTCAAACTCAATTTCATCCCGGGCCACATCAGCATTATGGTTGCACTCAAAGGGCCGGTTGTAATTTATATAAATATACATATGTAAATATATAATATATATTAAATAATGTATTATATTACATCATTGCCCCTGCATTGGATCATTATAAGATCTGGTAATATCTTCCTAAATAACTACGTCTGAAAGCAGAAGTCTAGGGCAAATAATTGAAAGTAAATATTCAACAATTACACCAATTGTATTGTATATTATATTCTTTGCAAGCTCTTGCGGGCCACATCAAATTAGGTCGCAGGCTGGATTTGGCCCCCGGGCCTTGAGTTTGACACCCCTGGTTTAGAGTGATCCACACGCAGACACAAACAGATGATTTCCGGTCTTTTGCTGCAGTTTAGAATGATGTTTATTTAGCTTTACATACCAAGGTTTAATTATGCTGTGTCAAAGGTTGTGGTACCTGCCGGGCTGGTGGAATCGGTGTGCTCTTCCTCCTGTGTCCTCGTCCTCTCCGGTCACCTATGACCCCTTTTATACACCCAGTGCAGCTAACCCCCGCCACCAAGTGTCCAAAATAGTATTGCAGTATAAATATAAATAAAGTAAACTGAGACACCAACAAAACCCATAAAATGGCTCCTACAGTTTGTCTCACTGCTCTTATAATGCTTTGCATCCTGTCTGCTCCTTCAGTACGTTTTAAATATGCCATATAAATAAAGCTGTTATTATCATTACTAACAAATAAAGAGAAAATGTTTAATTTTTTAAGAAACTACAACAGCATAATAAAAAAGAAAACTTGTTGAGCTGTAGAGGCTTAAAATTCAAACACTGGTATGAGAGAAATGCATATTTCAATTATTTAAATGTGCTAATCTTTGTTGTACTGTCTCTTGGCCGATTTGTTTAAAGGTAGAAAAAGTGAAACAATCCTCCTGATATATTTGTGTTTTTCCTGAACCCTCAACTTGTCCCACTCTCCTCGCTTCATCTCAAAGTGCCGAAGAGGCCTCAGAGACTCTCCTGTATGAAAAATGGAGCATCACACTTTCTGTTACCAGGAGATTAGAAAGTGAAGGTGGAGCACTTTGGAGAAGACACTCTTCCTCAGGGGCATCTGTACCGGAGCTGTAATCTTCACCAGAACAACACGTCTTCGGAGTGGGGGGAAATCATTTCCTTTTGCACAGCGAATAAAAACAAAAACAAATCTTTCACAGTCGTGGCGGTGGCGCTAATGAAATGATCCCTCGGATAGCTGAAGTGTAACTTAACATTGTTTAGATGAGGGTATGTTTATTTAATGCAAATGAATAATTGGGACAAGAGATGTCATGTTATATTTATTCATTCTCTCAGTAGTATATTTGATAGAACAGTGCAAGCCTCATTAAATAAGATTATATAATATAAATACAAATAAACCGATGCTACAGAAAATTCATTGGGAGAAGAACATATATATATATATATATATATTATATTAAAAAAATGCATAATAAAAACTGGAAGTCAATTAAATAAATACAGAAAATATTCCTTTAGTCATTGGCCATATTAATATGGAAATGCATCTTTTAAAAAAAAAGGAAAACTGAAGAGGGGTATGAAGCTAAGGTAGCAGGCCAGCGGTACACTGTGTTCTCTCAGGAGCACTTTTGTTTTCACTCTAAGTGGTGAAGCGAGGTTAAGGGTCACACATGCACCAGGTTACATCGGGAGGTAGGAAGCAGGAGGCGATGGGGGGGGGCTCACAGCGGGGAGTCCTGGCAGAGGAGGATCTCCAGCTCAGTGCGGTACAGCTTCCCTCCATCAGACAAGGCCATGATGCTCCTCTTGTAGTCCACGAGTCCTTTTGAAGGGTCCACGTCCTGACGGGAACAACGCGAACACAATCAGCGGGCACAGAGTGTACTTTGGATGGCACAGACATACAGTACAGTGCATCTCGGGCAGCTGCTCCATCTCAACTCTATATTTGGCAAGTAGAAAAGTAACCTGAACTGATCAATCAATGAGATAACTATTCATTACCATTTTGTTCTTGTCACAAAGGTCCTTCAGCAGACCATCCAACTCCTGCTCGTCAATATACCCATTACCATCCTGGAGAAAGAAACCAAACAAGAGGTCTGAATTATACAGAGGAAATAAAAGCATTTTATGTAGAAGGAAGACTAACACCATGTCTCAATTCACGTTCTTCTGTACTATATTTAGCGTAGAAGTGAGGTCATAAAGGTGTTGCAAAATTAAGTGCACTATGAGGACCCGAATGGTGTATTCAAAACGGTCAAAATGTTGAGTGTAGGACGCCTTGATGTATAAAGAGAGCTGGATCCAGCTTTCATTCATATGAATGTTGCTCAGTGGTGCATGAAGCCAAAATGGCTTGAGTGCAGATAAAGGAGGACCACAAACTGGTGGCCGAAGATGCTGCAAAGGTTTCTTCAGTGAAAATTGTACAATACAAAAGTAGGTTTTTAACCACTTAAGCTACTGTTGTCGTAAATATGGCCTTAGTATGTTTATTGTGTAATTCAGCAGTCTGCAATCATTTGGCTGTGCCAACAATAATGTGAATGTTTCCTAGCTAACATCAGCCATGGCTAATTTGGGTAAGTGTGCGCTTTGAGACAATATCACCCCGTCAAACTGTACTGACTGCGCAAGTAACAGTGTAGACAGTGTGCTAAAGTATAGTAATTGTGGAACAGCAAATTGATCTACAGCTGTACTAGCAGCTAAATGCTAACAGATATAATGTTAACCTTTCATTTTAGTTAAGTATAATAGCATGCCAACATTTGCTAACTGGCACAACATTTAAAGTACTATATAGGCTGATGTCTTTAGTTTTGCCGGATAAAGTCCTGATGAAATTACCATTTTGATCTGATGGTGGTGCTAGAAAGATTCTCTGGCAAACAACAAAGTAATTACAATGAGTGCACCACGTGTTGGCAATCCATCCAATAGTTTTTGAGACATCATTAGAAACCAGAAAAGATACCCTTTTACTCAGTTTTAAACCTACATGACTTATAAAGCCATGTAAGTGCAGTTGTTTTATGGTAATTGATTGTAAATATAGTACCTTATCATAGAAGGTGAAGAGGGAGTCGAATTCCTTAACTTTGAGCCTGATACCCTGTGTAGAGAGGGAGAGAGAGAGAGAGAGAGAGAGAGAGAGAGAGAGAGAGAGAGAGAGAGAGCATATACATTTGTTAGAAAACTCCAGGGTATTTTCTAGAGAGCGGTAAAAGCCCCACCAGATCCAGAATTGATATTAATCCACGCAGATTGTGATAACTGGGACTAGAGTTAATCTTGATCAGACTAATCCTCCGTCAGAAAGGATTTGTTGATCTGCTCTTGCAAGCTCGTATGTAGGTTTGGGAACATACATGACAAAAACTTGTTGGAGATATATGTATATTTATAATGTTGAACTTTAAAGTATTATAATTCTATTACTGCTATTTGATCCCACACTAAAATGAGCAATTTCTATTTTACTGTAAAATGCAAAATCCAAAATATTGTTGTTTATTAATTCTAATATTGATTATATCGATAACAGAAAGGGGGTCACAAATAACAGTAGCCTGTCATGTTTTTAAGGAAGGTTACACTGTAATATGCTAAAGGACTTAACGCAAGTAAATACGCATCTGTGTCCATTCCGTGCTTGGATGACAAATAATCCCCCTGTAGTGAATCCAATAATCTGTTTTACTGAATCTCCATTGTTGTCAGTGATTTTGTGTCAATTGAGCGAAATCTTCTTCTTTTACAGAATATTTTTAGGACATTTTATAACTTTATTTGATAGTGGAGGGAGAGAAGAGCAGAGGGAAATACATGCAGAAAATGGTCTAATAAAACCAAGGAATAGCTGTTATATGAGTATTTACAACTTTGTGATGTGCACCCGATCCACCTCGCTATCGGGTCGCAGAATGTCTTACCTCAAACTTCAGCAGGAAATTCTCCTGGACTGGCAAGAGCCTGCAGAAAAACAACAATGAAGGTTTAATAACAATATCATCCTTTAGAGAGGTTGAACAACGTACATAAAGAATATAAAGAAAGATAAAAAGTGGAGACACACTCACCTCGCCATCTCAGAAAGGCCGAGCTTACCATCACCGTTAAGATCAAACATCCTCAGCTGCACAGAAAGAAAATCATGAATAAGAGGAAGAAAACAGGAAGTCTTAAGACACCGACAGAAACACACAAAAACATTTGAATGGCCTATGCCTAATTCCTATTGTGAATAACAATAAATAGTCTGTTTCAGCCTCAATTTCTAAGTTTTCACTGTTGTTTCTTATATTATTTGTATTCATTTTCACAGTGTTATAGTATTTTTGATCCTGCAAATATATTATCTCTATTTTTATTGTATCTATTATTGTTTTAATATTTTGTCCGTGGGGTTTTAATCTTGCTAAGTGAAGCGCTGCTGCGTGTTCCTAGAGTGAACAGTCTGATAAAACCATTGTTAAATGGACACAAATAGCTGATGCCTATTAAAACTCACAATTGTCTGTGTGTATTCGTTGAGCTTCTTGTCATCGTAGTTTCTGTTAGCCTTCTTCAGCAGGTCTGACAGGAAGCCCTGCATAGAGAAAAACCCTTGTAGTCAGTCACTCGATTAATTTCATGATTGGTTTACAGCAGTTATGGTGAAAATAAATGGTGTTAACATTTATGTGCAGAGGTCAGGATGTGAAAGCATGCAGAGTGTTCATTTTTGAAGCTTTGTGTGGTTTTGTTTTCCACATGAAAGTGATAATTCGGAGCATAATACACAACAGCAGGTTCAGAGTACTTCCATCAGTAGAGACATTAGCACCAATTATACTACTAGCATGGCACAGAAGCCAATCCTCATCTACACCAAGGTCTGGTTTGTTTGCAGTAATCACTAAATATAAATATCCACATGCCATAGGAGTACTTACATTGCTCTATTTTGTGTTGAAATTACACAACTCCAAACCTCTGTGTCCTAAGCTGTGGCTTTAGCTTGTAATTTGCTAAATTGTTCACATAAGATACTAGCTATATTCAAAAGAAAAAACAGTGTGGGAAAAGAGGGAATCCTGAAAGTCCTTCCATATTGAAGTAATACAAATTGATATCAATCAAACAAACACGAAAGCATTGCACAAATAATATCTATATGCACAACACCATCAAGCAAGCATGAACTGTGGCAAAGAAAAACCAATAGAATAAGTAGATCTGTAAACCCATCACAAGTATCTGGCCACAAGGATATACATATTTTAGTTGTCCTCAAATCTGGCAATAAAGATAATGATATAGTGATTTTAACAATTAATTCTACATTAGCTTTCTTTCAGAGTTTGGCAAAGTGTTTTACCTTCAGCTCATTGGACTCAATGTATCCACTTCGGTCGGTGTCATACCTCCGCCAGGCCTACAGAAGAGGAGGGATGTTGTTACTGTAGCTTTCAGAAAACATGTTACTTTACCACAATGACTAAAGAAAACAAAAAGCACATTTTCTCCCTATATATATTATCTGATTGACAGAGAAAGAGACTATCAAATAAAAGTGACAGAGGTAGGGGGGTGTCATCTGATATTGTGTAAATATAGAATTTGTCAAAGCCCTTATCAAAGATAGATACCTAAACNNNNGTGTGCCTTGGCATTATCTGATTGACAGAGAAAGAGACTATCAAATAAAAGTGACAGAGGTAGGGGGGTGTCATCTGATATTGTGTAAATATAGAATTTGTCAAAGCCCTTATCAAAGATAGATACCTAAACCCCTCCAGCACTCACTGCTGTCCCCCTGCAGAAAGCTGTGCTCCATCCATAATGTATGTCCTGTCTGAGAATAGCTTTTTTACACACACACACACACACACACACACACACACACACACACACACACACACACACACACACACACACACACACACACACACACACACACGTGTGTGTGTGTGTGTGTGTGTGTGTGTGTGTGTGTGTAAAAAAGCTATTNCTGTCACACTGTCCCGAAATTGACACCCGATGGACACACGATTAAGGAAATGTTCAAATTCGGCTCTGATCGTAACAACATCGGGCCATTCGTGAGGGCATCTTAATCCATTGTATGACAGCCGGTGGAGTCTCTCAGGCTCCGGCAGCAACTTCGGGAGCGGTGGCAACATCTTTGGCATCACAAAGCATCGCCGAAGGACCTTGTGAAGGTTCATTTTCGTGTTGACTTCGTGTGTCCATTTTGCCCTTCGTAAGGCATTCGTGAGGGCATCTTAAACCATCGTATGACCGCCGGTGGAATTTATCAGGCTCCGGCAGCAACTTCGGGAGCGGTGGCAACATCTTTGGCATCACAAAGCATTGCCGAAGGACCTTGTGAAGGTTCATTTTCGTGTTGACTTCGTGTGTCCATTTTGCCCTTCGTAAGGCATTCGTGAGGGCATCTTAAACCATCGTATGACCGCCGGTGGAATTTATCAGGCTCCGGCAGCAACTTCGGGAGCGGTGGCAAAATCTTTGGCATGCCAAAGATGGCTTAAGATGCCCTCACGAATGGCCCGATGTTGCTACGATCAGAGCCAAATTTGAACATTTCCTTTATCGTGTGTCCATCTGGTTGTTTTATTGCACAACAAAATCATGTAAACATATTATGTAAATAACCCAATTTGTGTTCTCTGAAACTAAAAAGGATATAATATATTATTTTGAACAAAGGAAGTTGTTGTTGCTATGGAAACAACATTACGGAGAAAACTTAATATCTTCTACATATAAAGACGGAGAGAGTAAAGAACAAAGTCGGAAAATATCAGTACAGTATCATAATATTTTAACATAATTGTTTGTGTTACTTTCGTTGCAGTTGTATGTCTTAAATGTAATGTAAATGTTGCCTTCGTGTATGGTTCGGGGCCATCTTCGTGCGAAATTCACAATTCCATATTCGTGTGTCCATCGGGTGTCAATTTCGGGACAGTGTGATAGGGGCTTTAAAGGGCCCTATTATGGTCATTTTCAGGTTCATTTATCCTATTTAGTGACTCTATTGTGACCTGACTTTATGTTAAAAAGGTCTTTATTCTTCTCATCCCCGAAGTTTCACAACAGAACATCATATTTCTAAGGGCATCATAGATTTGCACTAGTTTTACTTCAGAGGTATAGTATCTGATATCTGTTTCAGTGCTCTAACAAAAAAACTGTCCAGCAACTCGTAAACTGAAAAAAATAAATAAATAATACAATCTACTTGTATAGACACGAGATAATTCCTTATGTAGCCCAATATCCTCAGGTTAAACTTCAATCAATAGAAATTAAGTTTGTGAGCCAGACAAATCAATGCAAATATTAATGCCATTAGTCGATATTAACAGTTCTCGAACACTTTTCACTTTGGCTTTTGCCTTTTTTCACAGCCATAGTTCTGCCTCGTGTTTTGTTTTAGTTTATACAGCTTGGTTTAACATGCAATGCTAACTCAGCGTAGAAGCAAGGTTAAAAAAAGATGACTCTAATCTGTGTCATGTCCCATGTTCAGTCCTAACATACCTTGGTTTAGGGTCAACCCCTTTAAAATACCCCTTTTCATCTGAAGGTTTAATACCTCCGGAGTTTCTGATGCTGTGATTTTGTGGATTACGGTCATGAACCAGATCAGAGAAAATCATAAATTATGATCCGTCTAATCTCTGTTCCTTGTCTGACTCCAGAGGCATAACCCGTCCATTCAACCCAAACACAAATCAATAATGTAATCGTTCGCTAAGCTTAACATAGAGAAGGCAAATAAGTATTGTGTACAGTGAGTCAGCGTTTGGTAAAAAGGAGGGTGTGTGTGTGTCAGAGAGTTAGTGTGTGTGGTTGAGTTGAGAGATTGGGTTGTACTGTGTCCCGGGAATGTAATCTGTCCTCGGTGCAATATTCTGCTGTGTGACTACAGCCCAATCTGAGTGGATGAAGTAATCACATGGTGAACTTGTGAACTGTGTCCTGATGAACTCAGAACAACCACACCGATATGTGTAGTGATGAAGTGTTAGTAGGTCAGTCGGTATCCCTTCACACTTTAGGCAGCAATACAGTATGGACCTATTAAAGCTGTTCAGATTTTAACACGGTGACGAAGAGTCAACAATGAATCAGATCCATGTTGACAAAAATGACCCTTCAGGCAAGTTGTGTACATAGGACAAACACTTACAGAATATTATCTTTATTTGTCAAAGCAGGAATAATAATGTATAATTAGAAAACAGTTCATACAGTATTATGAAAAAACATAAAAAACATAATCAAACAACATTAAAATCAATAATAAAAGCAAGTCTAAATTAGTGAGCAACGTGTTGGCTTAAAATCTGCTGTGTGATGATGGAGCTGGTTATAATGTATAAATATGTACAATTGTGTAAATTGTTAGTATAAATGTTACTATGAATGTTTAATATATCCATGTCTCAAAATGTTTACAACGCAGTAAAAACATTATGTTTAAGTGTCTATAATGTCAGCATAAATGTTTGTTTGATTTTAAAATGATTGTATGTATGAATGTGTTTGATGTCAGTACAAATGTGTGTATAAATGTGAGGGAATAAATGCGTTAATGTGAGTAAAGTGTCGGTAAGAAATAGAAAAATAAGATAAATGTCAGTATATATGTGACAAAATGCATCAAAATCTTACATTTATGGCTGATATAAATGTACACATTTTGATATAAATGTTATCTTCTTATTCTGTTTCTGTTTTGTTTTCGCATTGCTGCTGAATGAAGACTTGCCACTTTTCTTTGCCTCCTGCAGAGAGAAGAAACTGACGGACCAGGTGAAGTGAAACTGTCGTTATGTAACAAAAACGCTGCAGCAGGACAGGAAGCTTGTGAGGAGGAGAGTTTTGTTCCCCACGGAGCGGGTTGTGTTCATCAGAGGGATTCGTCTCATTCAGTCTGTCGTCTCTGTGATCACATTTCAAGAGACGCTGTCTTGCTTGTTAGTCTCGCTTTTTTCCTGCAACCATAATCTGTGAGAGAGAAAAAAGGTAGGCTACAGTAAAGAAAGTATTTACATTTCTCAAAACGTCATAAGCCTAACTAAATGACTCCATGTTTTATTCATTGTTTTCTTGATCCTGTCAGGAGACAATAATCCTAAGAATTGGATTTCCAAGTTGTTCAGTGCAGCTTTGCATGGTCTGCCTGTAATGACTATTCATTCATTTATTCCTTATACCTGAACGTTTTTTGTTTCAGACCTCAAGTAAAAAAAGCAGCATCGGGACATGTGTCAACGTTAAAGGAATAGTTGGAAAAACACTTTCTTCCTGGGAGTTACAGGAGAAGACGGAAACCACTTGCCAAAATCACTTTAGTCAAAGTTCATTAAACAATAGACAGAGGCCCAGTGAAGTCGTCCATTACTTTGTGTGCTATGGTTTTGAAGCCTCAGTTCGGCCACACAAGAAGGGGGGAGCTAAAACTGATTTAGCCACACAAAATGTTACGTTTAACTTTCGTGATCTGAAAACACAGTGTAAATGGGTTACAGCTCCAAGACGGAAACACAGACTACACAGAAAACGGTCAACCGTGGTTAAAAGCTCTAACTTAGATGTTAGCCTGTCCTAAATCATTCTGCTTTATCGTATTTTTTCTTTAAATGTGTCAATAATTTACAAAATGAGCATCATGATGTATTGAAAAAGGACTTAAAACTAGTGGATAGGACCATAAACTCATTAGTAAAATGTTTAGTAGTGAGTTAATAAATCAAGTGAGAAGTAGGTTCATTTTTTCATAGACTTCTATATAATCTACTTATTTTCGCAACAAATGTTTGCTGGATATAGAAAATGCAAGTTTGAAGAACATTTACATTGGCTTCTCTTGTTTGCTAAGTGATGAATACTTAAAATGCTGCATTTAGCAGAGACTCTCTGTAGGTCACATCTGTCTGTTTGATAAAGCAGTTATCACTTCAGTAATTACATGTCCCTTCATGTTATCTGGTCAGTTGTTGACACTGTTACAGATGCTGCGCCAGATGCTGTGTCCGCTCTGCAGTACAGAGAAGAAGAGAGTCAAAGGGACTTCTCTTCCTATTTCCTGGTCTGAACATTATACCTATAACTTGCTGTAAACTCTTGTACCACTGATCAAAAACCGCACACTAATGTAGCCTGCTGCTGACACTCGGTGAGATGTCAAATTCAATCTCATGCATCACAACTGCCCAGTAAGTGGATATACGTATGTATGCATGAAAAGTCAGCCTGTGTACTCAATTAGCAATCATTTGACTCAACAGCCCGTAATGCATTGCGTCTCTTCAGATGGTGGACAGCAAGGCATATGGATAAAAATAATTAACCATGGTAAAGCTAATAATGTCAAATGACTGATGCATGATTCACATATAT